GGGGGGGGGAGGGGGGGGGGGTTGTGCTAGATTGGAAAGTGAATATATGAGATTTGAATCCCGGTTTGGAATTGATTTTGGATGAAACTAATAAATTTGGACTCGTATTAGAATGAATAGTTAGGATTTGTGAGTTTTATCGGTTTCCTGGGAGTAGGCCTGGGTTAAATTTTTGGTTGACTTTGTGTATTTGATTAAAGATTTGAATTTTATTATATGAGATTGATTTTTATGGCTTTTATGAGGTTATTGGGTTGTATTTGACTAGATTCGAGCAGTTTGGAGTTGGATTTTTGACTAATTGGCATTTTTGGTGATTTCTAGGTTACGGGCGGAGGTAAGTCTCTTAGCTAACCTTATTAAGAGTGAAACCCCTAGGATTTGTCTTGATTGCTATGTGCTTAAGGTATTGGCAGTAGTGTGTATGCTGGGTGGGCACATATGCACGTAACATGTTTATATTATGTCTATAGTAGAATTGTGATATTTATGCCTTGTTTTGATTATGTGCTCATCTTGATTCATGATTTGTTGGCTTATATGACTACATTGCTTTCTTATTTGTTTTAGAGATCATGCGTAGGTTTATGATTATATTTGAATACATGGAAGGTTATTCTTGATCTGGCAAATTATTTGAATCGTGTGTGGTCCTATAGAAATTCCACGAGTACATATATATAATTCTTGGACATAGCATACGTATTATGAAGGGATATGTACTATATATAAATTATTCATATATGATTATTATTAAGTCCTTGTGCATCTGTTATGTATAATTCTTGGACATATGTATACGTACTATATTGGATACTTGCGTTGGACTGAGATTGTGGCACGAAAGGTAGGATCGTGCGGAGAGAATACAATTATAGCACACATGACATGATAAACGAATATTTTTATGATGATTTATCAAGATCATTTTTACGCTTGGATTATGATTCGTCTCTCCGGAGTCAGGTGATTAACCATGTTACTTTTGGCCTTGTGAGCGTGGTTGATATATGGATGGTGTATCTGGTCCATACATGGATTTTGTATCGGGTTATGGTGATACATGGATTGTGTATTATGATACATGGATCGTGTACTAATTTTAGTATGCATATGTGTCTTTTACACATTCAGAAGTATTCATTTAGGTGCTTATTGTTGCATGACATCTCTATATGCTAGTTAGGAGTCTCAACTCCATTGAATGAAACATGCTATGTTTAAATACTATATCTGAACAACGTTATGATTATCTTTTGTACTAGAAAAACATGTTTTATACTCTTTGATTGTTGAAATCTTTGATACTTGTAATTCATGAGATTATTTACTATATGGCTCTAGCTCTATTATTTATATCTGTGTTGAAAGCATCCTGATACATATAGCCTTACTCCTATTTCTTCGAGGTTAGACTTGATACCTATTGAGTATCGATTGCGATGCACTCATACTACACTTTTGCACATCTTTTTGTAGATCATCAGGTGGTTAGTAGCAGAGCCTCTCATTAAGCTTAGGCAGTCACTCGAAGGCTCAGGGTGAGCTGCACTCTATGGATTCATTTCGCACATCCCGAGTCCATGTCTTTTTACCATTTGCTATCTATTTTATTATTTCAGACACCATTGATCATGTATTCAGACTTGTACCTATTCATTAGTTGCTCGTGTACTTGCTGTGTTTGAACCACATTTTGACTATATTATATATTTTACTATTTTGAGATTATCCTATCTTTTATATGTGATATGAATATGTTAAATAAAGGAATTTGGGTTATGTTTTGCGATTGTGAGTTGGCTTGCTTAGCAAGTACGACTAGGAGCCATCGCGGCCTAAGGTGGGATTTTTGGTCATAACAAGTTGGTATCAGAGCCCTATATTGTGTAAGTCTCACGAGCAAGTCTAGTAGAGTCTTGTGTATTGGTACAAAGACATTTGTACTTATCTTCGTGAGCCTACATGGCTGTTAGGAGAACTTTTCTTTCTTTCATTCTCTGTTATGCAAATTTGTTTATCTCAAAGTTTGAATCTTTGCTTTTTTATTCTCTCATAGATGGTAAAGACACATTCATCTAGAGTAGTTGGGCCGGCACCAGGGTCGCAAGAGGCCGGAGCTGAGGTAGACACATTCACGAGCACGCGTCGCAGTTAGGGCCCTACTCGAGCAGTCGCAGTGGAGCCACAGTAGGTCCTATTGAGGATCAGGCTCTGGATTATGTTGAGCTAATCGGACCATCTCAGGTCCCTAAGGGTTTTATTGCTACCCAGTACTTCAGGATACTCTTGTTCATTTTGTTGGACTAGTGGAGGGTTTGGCACATACCAGAGAACTTCCTATGGCACGAGCTACTTCTCAGGATAGGGATGGGCATAAACTCCCTTTACTCATACTCCTGAGCAGGTTTCTATCGTGTATCAAACACAAAAAGTAGTACCGATTGGGGGACTTCCTCCCGTGATTGTTGTTACGCTAGTGGTAGGGGCCTCTATGTATAAGGAGGAGGAGAAGAGGTTTGATTGGTTCAGGAAGATAGGTCCTCCATAGTTTGATGGTGATCTTTTGGTAGATGCACATAATTTCTTAGATGGTTGCAAGGAGACTTTTGCGAAATCTTAGTTTGGTTGAGTCGAATAGGGTCAATTTCACTACTTTCTAGCTCAAGGGGCCAGCCAAGAGGTAGTGGCAGGCGCATCAGTGTAGTAGGCCACCAAGATTAGTTCCACTCGCTTAGAGTCAGTTTTCACATCTCTTCTTAGAAAAGTTAATATCCTTCGCGACCAGAAAGGTGTTGCGCGGCCAATCTGAGCACCTTCACTAGGGTTATCTATTTGTGATCGAGTATGATATGAGATTCACTGAGTTATCTTATCACGCGTCTTTCTGATCCTTGCCGAGGTAGAGAAGGTGAGGATATTCATTGAGGGATTGAATTTTGGTATCAAGATCGCTATGGCTAAGGAGGCAAAGACTAGTACAACATTCCTTTGGGCTGTAGATATAGCGCATATGATTGAGCATATTCTGAGTTAGAGCATGGAGGCCATGGTGATGAGAGGCAAGAGGTCTCAACATTCTGGCAGTTTTAGTGGTACCTTGTCTAAAGGTAAGTATCATTTTGGGAGTGTCTATTCTAGTAGGCTAGTTCCTTTAGCTTATCAACCTACTCGTGGTGCTCCAGTTCAGTCTTCATTTAGTGTATTACTAACGCAGAGTACATACCTTACTCCTTCAGTCCGGGTTTCTTCTAGTGGGCATTTAGTTTAGCAGAGGCAACCTCAAATTCAACAGTTATTCTCAGCTCGAGGTTATTTTTAGTGTGGAGAGGTGGGGGAATATAAAGAAGGATTGCCCTAGGTGTGGTAAAGGCACAATAGAGCAGGGTTCTTAGATCTTGACTCCAACGCTAGTTGTTACACCATCGGCCCCACAAGCTAGTGGGGGAGCCCAGTCAGTCATGGGACGTCTCAAAAGTGGAGGTCAGTTGGGCGGTGGTCAGACCCTCAGTTATGCATTTTCGGGTAGGCACGAGATGAAGCTTCTGATGTAATTATTACAGGTATTGTTTTAGTATGTTACAGAGATGCATCAATTCTATTTGATCCTGATTCTACATATTCCTGTATATCATTGTACCTTGCATCATATTTGGATTTGCCCCGTAGTTCTCTTAATATCTCTGTTCATGTATCTATACCTGTAATTGACCCTATTTCGGTGGATTATGTGTATAAGTCTTGTGTGGTAAGCATTAGGGGTATGACACTAGTGTCAATCTTTTGTTGCTTAGTATAGTGGACTTAGATGTGATTTTTGGTATGGATTAGTTATCTCTATATCATGCTATTCTTGATTGTCACGCTACAACCATGATATTGGCTATGCTGGGATTGCCAAGGTTGAAATGGAGAGGTTCTCTTAGTCATACTTCTGGCAGAGTGATTTCATTAATGAAGACTCCACAGATGGTTGAGAATGGGTGTTTGACATATCTGGCCTTTGTTAAGGATGTTAGTGTTGAGACTCCTACTTTTGTATCAAATCCAGTAGAAAAGGAGTTTGTGGATGTATTTCCTATAGTAGAAAAGGAGTTTGTGGATGTATCAAATCCAGTAGAAAAGGAGTTTGTGGATGTATCAAATCTAATAAGCAATTTCATCATTCAAGAGTTCTATTATAATATTTAACATGAAAGAAATAAGCCATTTAACCATCAAAGCATGAAGCAATAAGACAAGTATGTGAATACGGCTCGACAATGAAGCTCAATATGGCAAGTAATCATTTATGCCCAATTAAACTAAGTCATAACTCTACACATGCTTCTAAGCAACAAAAATGAGACATCATTTAGTCATAGAATCAATGAAATATGAATAGTAAGCTCTCATAGTCCAAACAAGGCATAAAATAGTCCAAACATTTACCAGATATGGTCATAATCTAGTTATGCATATAGGTTTATCGCCTCGCATATACGTGGATCCTAAACTGAGCAATAAACAGTAAATAGATCACCGATAGGGAGAATTTCCTCTTACAAGGACAAACAAGAGACTTACCTCCGCACGTAGTCTTTAACCTTCCAAAATAGATTTCCCTCTCAAATTAACTTCTAAACGAGTCAAATCTAGTCAAATACAGCTCAATAACGTCAAACAAAACCATAGGAATTCATTCCAAATAATAAAGTTTCAAAATTTCTTCAAATCCCCAAAAGTCAACCCAAACTCACATGGTCAGGATTCGAGTCAAGGACAGATTCCAACTACCCAAAACCCTACGAGTTCAAATATGCAATTAGATTTCAAAGGAAAGAGATTATTTGGAGATTATATGGATTATGCTATTTTAAACAAATGATGAGTAAATTCGTGAAGGTGAGAGGGGAAGCAACTCAAAGAAAATGAATTTTTCGTCCAAGTTTGATAAATTGAGATAAAGTACGGGACAAACATTAATATTCGATATTTATGAAGTAGTGCCATACAAGGTACTACATGACCATGCTAGTAAGATGTACAAGGTATGTTAAAAGAGAGTAGTATTTTAAGTAAGTTGAGATAATTCTTAATTATGCGGGTAATTGGTTAATTACCGAATAACGAGATCTTACCTAATTAATTGAGGATATATTAAATAAGTATTAAAAAAAAAGCATGAGGCGGCAGCCTCCCATGCAATTAGAATGACTCATATTACAATTTAAAAGTTGGCATCATATCACAATTCATTGATATAACCGGTGGAATGACTCATATACAAATTCAATGATTATGAGACTTCTTTCTAAAATCCCAACAGATTCAAGAATGGAAAATTTCATTCCAACAAAGAATGGGCATTATTCTTGAATCAAATGACAAACAATTCAAACATCAGTAACATGAATTCATCGATCAAATGACAAACAATTCCAATTCATTATTCATTTTATGAAAGATGTCATACAGATCAGTTATAGAAACGTAAATAGCTTCGACAAAATTCATGCGAAATGTCTTGATACTGTAGCAACGCGGGAGTTGCAATTCTAAGGGAGTACGGTGCAATCTTTTTCAAGAATATCACACAGATTTTTTTCTACTCCAGGTATGTTAAGACTATCCCTTCTTTCTTTTTGGCATGATCCAAGTAATACAAATGAAACGAGCAAAATACGCAACTTTCGTAAATGACTCTATTCATAGAAATACTAGGGATTCTAGATTCCCCATGTGAATTATTCTGTTCATGGATCTCAGAATAATACGTATTTGATAAAGTTTATCCGAAAGACACNATAAATATTACCTTAGTGTGACTCTCGTCCCTAGTAGAACAAGGACGTTGAGCAACCCGAAGAGCCAATGGATGAAGCAAAGGGAGAAAAATCAAAAGAATGTCTTGATGAGTTTTTCACAAGAAAATGATAGGCAGAAATATTAGCAGAGTAATGAGAAGAGAGATAAGGAAGAATTATGAGTAAGATGCGATACATGGATGACAATGTTAGATAAAAAAGATGACGGTATTACTGGGTACATAGTCAGGTGAAGGAAGAGACGAGAGATGATAGGCCTTAAGAAAACAAAAGAGTATTGGCCATGAAGTCATATCCTCATTTCAAGATGCAAGTTCGTGACTCTAACGTGATTACCAATAGGAAAAGCTAGACCCCAGAATAATAAAGATCAATATGGGCTGGTGAACAAAATAAAGTAAATATGAATTAGGGATTTAGTGATTTGATAATGGTCGACATCATGAGAATTTTACATTTCGTGCCGGAAATAATAGAATGGACAACGGAATAAGATTCATGAGAAATTCAAAGAATTGTCATTCAATAAGACGCTTCCCTAATGTAAGCAATGTGAGCAAAATTAAGCTTAAGAGACTGTATGTGTCAGTTATAGTAATTGTCACCTCGCGAGTAAGGAATTTCGTTATCCTTAGTATAGAAGGATTACCGCAAGGAGAGTAAGGGTCATCGATGATGTGAAAGGACGCCAAAAATGAAGAGGTAAAACATCTATAGGCAAATTGTCGTAGCTCCAACTCTTAGTAATCCTCTAAAGGGGGGATATGGTATGACATGACATTACATCATAATTAAGTGGTTCTATTAATTATGGAATGGTAAAAGAACAATGCAATAAAATGAAAAATGGATGAGATTGCACTTATACAAAGCCTACAGATATGCTACGATACCAGAGCATTATGCAAACACGACGTCAAGGAG